ATAAGAATCCCCTTAGCATCCAAAATCACACACTAGTGTTCTTGGAGATCATTGAGCCGATTTTGGTGTAAGAATATTCTCTCAAAGTCATCCTTTGTCCAAGGTGTGTTTTGAACCATTGGAGGTGTCACACTTGAGGCACTAAGTTCTTAAAGGCCAAAACTACAAGCTACAACAAAGAGGTAATTCTATAACTCATTGCTATGATGTTTATGTCAATTGTATGCTAGTTGTAGGCTTAATGCTTTGGAAACAATATTGGATGTATAATTAGAGAAAACATATATCCAAAGCATTTAGGGTTGTACGTGCACCATAGGATGTTGTAGTATACTAAAACCCAATAGATGTATCCATTTGAAAGGTTTGTATGTTACATCATAATGTATGTTGCTATTTTGGTAAGCTAATTTAAGTATTCTTCACTATAGATATCTAAATCAGTTGAAAAAACATGTGAAAAATGAAGCTCGGGTGGAAGGGTCCGTTGTTAACGCGTACTTGCTTCATGAAGCATCAATATTTTGCTCTCACTATTTCGAGATTGGTGTCCCCACACATAATAGAAAGTTGCCCCAAAATGATGATGGATGAGGAGATGAGCAACCACATGCTTACAACTAAATGTTAGATATATTTTCATATCGTGGTCGTCATTATGGAAGATTCATGAATAGAATGTTGTCTGATGAGGAAGTGCATGCTGCCCAAACTTACATACTCCTTAACGAAGATCAGATCAAACATTACATCAGGTAAGTAACATATGCTTCACTTTTAATTATAATACTCATTTGTTGTGTAATTGCTCTGAATAACATTTACATGCATGATTTTGTTTATTACATCATAGTAACTTAAAAAAATTTATTCAAACGGTGATATAGAATATTTGAAGAAGATTTGAATGAATTATTGGGAATATGGATGAACAGGAGCTTGCAGCTGAAGTTGAGAAGAACTTTTCAATATGGTTTCAAAACTATGTGGGTGTTATTTTTGTATTTTTGTATTTTATTGTTTTTTGTTATGGTTATAATTAACTCTAATTTAGTGTTTTACCATTTTTCATATAGGCACGTAAGATCTAGATAAATAACAAGTATATACCCGACCTTTCCAAAATGCCATTCAAAAAAGAGAAATTATATAGTGTATACTTTATCAGTGGTAACAAGTTTCATACCGAAGCTCATGGTCTAAACAAATCAACAACTGATAGCGGATTGTGTGTTAGTAGCCAAGGAGGTGATTATTACGGTAAAGTAGAGGAATTTTTAGAAGTCGAGTATGCTAGTTACCAAATTAAAACCACAGTTTTGTTTAAATGTCATTGGTACGATCCAACACCTAACATAGGAGTTAAGGTTCACAAACAATATAACTTGGTCGAGATAAACGTCAAAAGAAAATACAACAAGTTAGAGCCATTTGTTTTAGCCATGCAAGCCACTCAGGTGTGTTACATTCCTTACCAAAGTTTGAAAACAAACAACTGTTACTGGTGGGATGTATTTAAAGTTATACCTCGTGGTTGGACTAATGAAAATCATCCTCATAAATACGTTGCTTTCGAAGAAGATGAAGTTGAATAAAATGAAATCACTATACCAAGTACAGCCGATACAGACAATTATGATGATCACGACATGTCAAGCAGCGGTTCAGATAATGAAAATAACATTGATGAAGAAGGTGAAATTCATGAGGACGAAAATGATGGTATTCCTGACAGCGAGGGTAGTTATGAGTATATAAATCGAGAAATCAAGAAGAAGAGGATGAAGAAGAAGAGGAGGAAGAAGATATTGACTAGATGTTTTTGTTTCTTTATAAAAGGATGGTTACATTGTCTAAATTTTAGTTTTTGCATGCAAATTGGTAAATGTGTTGTTATGTATTAGTACCCTTCATGAGAATTAAATAAAATAAAATTTTATCATTCTTTGGTACATTGAAAGCATTTACTAAAAGGAGGTATGTAACACCCAATTTTTCAAAACAATTTTTCATTTGAAAACATACTTTCCACCACATAAAAATCACAAAATCATAATAAATTTTTGTATCATCACAAAACATGTCCCAAGATCTCATATAAATAAATCCTCTCTCGTGTGTACGAATCATGCCGGCGCCTTCCCGCGATCCTCACTAGTACCTGAAACACATCACACATCAACTGTAAGCATAAAAGCTTAGTGAGTTCCCCAATATACCACATACAACACATACGCCACTCGAGGCTACAATACGACCCTCCGGTCCGATGTGTCTCAGCAGGACCCTCCAGTCCCGTAGCTCGTTGGACCCTCTGGTCCGGTCATAGCTCGTTGGACCCTTCGGTCCGGTCTGTATCGTTGGACCCTTCGGTCCGGTCTATATCGTTGGACCTATCGGTCCGGTCTATATCGTTGGACCCTTCGGTCCGGTCTATATCGTTGGACCCTTCGGATCGACCTATATCGTTGGACCCTCCGGTCCGGTCTATACAAAACATAGCATACATATAACACAATGCACATGGTCTACACATAAATACCACTCTAGGTAATGTATAGTGAGAAGACTCACCTCAGATGTCTCGGATAATATCCTGCCTGTGTATATACTGATCTAGCCTCTGCCTATACACATAACATAATCATCTCAATCAATCACGGCTCTCTAGGCTAGACTAGACTCTCACATGTCCTCTAAGAAGGCTAAAAGGCTATTTTACCCTTCAAACAGTCCACAAGTTCCATTGTTGACCAAACCCAAAAAGTCAACAAAAGTCAACGGTCAACCCTTGACCAGACTCGCCGAGTGCACAAATGTGACTCGGCGAGTTCAGTCGTGAACTCGAGTCCTCTATCCCCCTTCTGACTCACTGAGTCATTCCCCCAATTCGGCAAGTCACTCACTGTGTGATCCACGGGAAACCCTAACCCTACTCGCCGAGTCTGCCCTTGGACTCGGCGAGTTCATGTCATGTACAAACTCAATTGACCTCCTGAGGTCAGATCTGTTCCTTAGAACCATAGATCTGACCTTCCCAAGCCTGATAATCACGTAAAGCTTGGATCTTGACTCTCATGTGACGTCTAGGAGGCTTTACTTGGTGATTTAGCCCCAAACACAACAACCTAAGCTCATTGCCTCCATAGTTCAACATAAAGCAAGCTGTAATAAGCTCTTTAGACCACTATGGGTCTAGATCCGAAGTCTCAAAATGAATAGGGGCCATATTCTCACAACTCCTTCCAATAAAAGACATAAAAACTCTACATCTATGGGTTCCTTCAACAAAACAGATAAAGGGGCGACATAATACCTCAAAGATGAAGTCTTTTGCTCGAAATCCCCAGATGCACAACCTCCTTGATCTCCTCCAAGCTGAAATCACCTCCTTCTTGCAAGAATCAATCACAAAAATCAAGAAATGGCTCCTTTCCTCTCACAAACGCTCTAGCTCTTTTTGGGTTTCTCTCTGGGGTTTGGTAGCCGCAAGTGACGGCCCTAAGGGCGTTTAAATAGGTCCCAAACCCAAGAAATTATGGTTTCATTAAACAGCGTGGACTCGCCGAGTCCACGTATGGACTCGCCGAGTCCAGTCATTAATCCAGTCTAACAATGTGCGGTTCTACTCGGCGAGTCTAAGCGCCTACTCGCCGAGTCCCTCTCCAAAACTCAAAAATAATTTGATAAATACAGTACCTAGAAATCCGGATGTTACAAGGTATGTGTTTTTGAGATATTTGTATGTACAATATTTTCATTAAATATCCAATTAAGTAATCGTTTATGTTATAATCCAGTTCTTTTACATTGAAATGGTAAAATATTATTCAAGATAACATAAACATGTATAATAGCAAATGTTTGTTCTTTCCTAGTATTAATTACATATAAAATACAATAAAACAAACAAAATAGGGTTTTTTCCAAAATAGACCTTATATTTACAGTTTTTTCTATTTAAACCAAAAACTTTATTTATTTCCTAAAAAGACCACACTTTTTTTATGTTCCTTGTTATTTATTATGCATAACCGGTTGACTAGTTAATAGCCGGTATCACGAACGTATCCTTCCTGCATACCCTTTCTTTTCTTGCGTACCCTTTCTTTTCTTCTACACTCGCTAGGTTTCATTCGTTCGCTTTAAGATACACAAGTCGATATGAAAATCTAGGGCTTTTTCCGAAATCGCACAACAAGAAAGCCATAGCATCCAATTCTTAGTTCCAGAAATCGCACAAGAAGGCTATGGCATCCAGGAATCACTAAAGTAAGTTTTTTTCTCGGTCTCACGCTTTGTTCAACCCGATTTTGTTTGACTTCTTAGCTTCTAATTGCTTAGATTCGCATGATTATAAATCAACTTAATTAAAAATCTAGATTTGTGCATACTAAAAAAAACTGATTTGTAAAGCGGGTTTCTTCTCCTCCACCTGCGAAGGAATTCCCCATCAACAACGATTTGGATTTTATTTTAACCAACGAATTCCACACTTCATTCAAGATTGTTTTGTTTGTTTCAAAACATGAAATACAATTGCTTGAAACAGATAGCACTACAGAATCAGGTTCCTGGCGCTAGAAACAAAGTTGATTCCACACTTCTTACGTATGAGTTATATTTATATTACCACTTACAATATAATTTGAATGTCAAAATTAGGTTCCTGGCGCTAGAAACAAAGTATTGAGGTGGTTAGTGTTATGGAGGATGTATCCTGTATCGTCTAGGCAAATTTTATCATTTTACCAAACTACCCTTAAGAAATCTAATAGAAAACAACTGACAGAAGAAAAGAAAAACAAACTTATATCACTTTATCAAATTCAATTTTTTTTGGTATGCACATATCTGTAATGTGTTGAAAACTTTGTTATATGAAACCGAAGTGATGTTTATTGATGTTAATTCAGGTTTATAAAACTGAATTGATATACAAAATATAAACCTGAATTGATCATTCTTTGCTTGATTCACCAACTTGTTAGTCCTCGAAAATGTCATCTTCTTCAAGTATCAAGAGCATCAGAAGTAGAAGGATAGTAAGGAATGATGGAGTTGAGTTGTGCAAGTGTAATGAAGAAGCTCATATGTTTACATCATGGACTGCAAAGAATCCTGGTAGAAGATTTTATGGATGTCCAAATTACAAGGTAAAATGTTTGTAAACTTTTTTTTGGATGTCCAAATATAAACCTGAAGTTATACCATGTAATGATATGTAAATGTTGCTTCTTTTGCAGGATGAAAGTATGAATTGCAAGTATTTCATGTGGATTGATGATGAACTTACAATCCAAAGGTACAAGGATCTATTCTTCAATATGCACCATGATATGAAGGGTATGGAAGATGAGATCAAAGAATTAAAGTTAAAGTTGAAGAAAAAAGCATGTTTGGAATGTGAAGAACGAAGAGTAAAGTATGTTAGGATTGTGGTGTTCTTGGTAGTTGTCCTGACATTGGTCATCTTAAGGTTGTGTTACTTTTGATGAATTAAGGTATGTTAGGGTTATGTTTTGTATGACAAAATAGTTGGTTATGTTTTGTATGAGAATATAAGTACTTTTCTATATATGTTATTTTTAATTTTCAATTTTACCCTTTTAAGGTTTACATTCATTCATAAACTAATATGATATAATTTGATAGATATTTGAAAGTAGAATGTCCTAATAAGAAAAAGACAAAAAGGAATGTAGAAAATAAACAAAGTACACAACATTTCATAAACAGTTTACAAAGGGGAATGTTAATCCAAAGTGGATCAGTTTCTAAATAACATGTGGGTGTGAACTTGGCCATCATTAACACTTACAAAAAGGCCAAATAATAAGTTGCAACAAAAAGACCAAAATGGCCATATTAATGGTACTATACAAAAATACCCCCACCCCCTCTACAAAAATACAATCACCTCTACTCTACTAGTCCAATGTCATTGGTGCTGTCGGGGTCGAACCAGGTGCAATAGTTTCAGGTACAAAAGTTACATCATCCATTAGTGTTTCTTCAATGCCTTGTGCTTCAAGTGTGACATCATCCATTGTTGGTAGTTGCACAGTTTCTTGGGTAATAGTTTCTTAGGTAACATCATCCCTTGTACCCATTAGCTCCTCAATTTCTTGGGAAATGTATCCAGACTCCCTCAAATCAGCAACTGCTTGTGAATATGCACTTAGAACTTTAGTTTTTTTTTTGTTTTCTTGGTCTTTTTGAAGTACCTTCAATCTTCTCCACACTTGGCCTTCCTATCTTCTTTTTGGTTTGGGCTCAGGCTCCTTTGTAGGATTCTTATATGACTTTTTATTATGTCCAAACTCTTGACAATTGTTACACTTAACAGTTCTTTTCCTAGATCCGCCGTCTCCTTTCTCACTGGCATGCTTCTTCCTGTTCACAGTAGGCCTCCCAGGCATCCGCCTAGACATAGGTGGCAAAGGTTTTTCATAAGGAATTGTTGGCCACAGGTTGCTACCATTCATAGGTTGTAAAAAAGTAGCATAACTCTCCTTGAATCTTTCACTTGAAAACCAAGGACTGATGAAATCCTCTGGATTTTACTGATTGTAAAACATTGCAGCTATTGCATGAACACAGGGAATCCCTGATAATTCCCATAGTCTACATGAGCAGTACCAAGACTACAAATCTACACAATAGGACTCATAGGTTGACCTTGCCTCAAATACCCCTCCACCACTTGGTATGACAGACCATGACCTATAAATACATTAAATGCACTTATCAGAAGCTGTAATAGGCCAACACATGTTTCCAAATACAAGTAATGTACTAACCTGTAGTGTTCACCAAATGTTTCCAATTTCTTAATGATTGCAGGGCAAATAGGAGCCTCCCACGTTTGTTGTAGGTTATACATAAAAGAAACTCTCTCCATGACACTTAAACGTATCATCTCCAACATTGTTAACAATGGCCTCTTTCTAGCATGAACAATCATCGCATTGAAGCTTTCACTAACACCATTCTCAAAAGCCTCACATGCTCTATCTGTTAAAAAATAAACACACCTGTTTTTCAGATTTATGTTTTTCAGATTTCAAATAAGCATACCTGTTTTTCAGATTTTCAGATTTTCAGATTTTCAGATTTTCAGATTTTCAGATTTTCAGATTGCTGTTTTCAGATTTCAGATTTTCAGATTGCTATTTTCAGATTTTCAGATTGCTGTTTTCAGATTTCCAGATTGCTGTTTTCAAATTTTCAGATTGCTATTTTCAGATATATATTTTCAGATTTCTGTTTTTCAAATTTCCGATTTTCAGATTTCTGTTTTTCAAATTTTCTGTTTTTCAGATTTCTAATTTTCAGATTTTTGTTTTCAGAACTCTGTTTTCAGCTTTACTTAAATTACAACAACCTTATCCAGTTTGATTTACAAATTCATCCACTTTGGTTGCATTGGAATTGCTCATTCCTTTTTTCAGTCTAGCACATCAACAAGGGCAAAAACGTCCAAACCACAAATTTTAAGTGCAAACACCAAATGTTAAGTGGTATATTAAAGTATAAAAACAAATTTAAGTAAAAAGGAAAATGTAATACTTACCTTGACAAAAGTAAGCACGACTCCATGAGCACAGGTTATGGGACATTAAGTATTCATATGCACCCACATCTATAGCCTTCAATCTCTCCATCACAGATATGAATTCAGGTTCGACAGTGCAACCATCAGCAGCCCAAAACAGATCTTTGTACTCTTCTCCTTTATATGACTTCTTAAAGTTTGCATATATATGGCGAACACATTGTCTATGCTCCGCATTTGGCAAGACCTCCTTTACTGCTTCAAGTAGCCCCTAAAAGAATATCAATGTTATTTGACACCTTTTTTTTTATGAAAAAATGGACAAGAAAAACTTTGAAATTTATGACATAAGGGACAAGAATAACAATATACCTTATGCTGGTCTGATATAACTGTAAGACCTCCAGCTTCTTGTACTCCAACATCCTCACGAAGAAACTCCAAGAACCATTTCCAGTTTTGCTTGTTTTCAATGTCTACCACAGCCCAACATATAGGATATACTTGGTTATTGGCATCCCTTCCTATAGTTGTTAGGAGTTGACCCTTTACTTGCCCTTTCAAAAAGCATCCATCTAATCCTATCACTCTTCTACATCCAACAATCCATCCTGTTTTCAGTGCATGAAAGCATACATAGAATCTATGGAAGTAATGTTTTCCATCAGGATTAAGGTTTACACCCACTTGCACAGTACTACCAGGGTTGGATCTTTGTATTTCTGCATCATAGTCCCAAATTCTAGCATAATGATCACTAGCCTTCCCTTCAATCATCACCATTGCCTTATGTTTAGCCCTGTTACATTTACTGATAGATAGGGTGATCTTGAATTTTGTCTTAATGAGTTCCCTCAATTCTTTAAGTTTAATAGATGGGTTGAAAACAATCTCCTTCACAAGATGAGAAGCAATCCACTAAGGGGATACAAGGTGTCTAAAAGTAAACTTTCTTGAACATGAGTGCTTCTTTTTCAGTGACTTTACTTGGACTGTTCTTTCTGTGTTCATCCATGATGCATACAAACGAAAATCACATTTTTTTTGTCAGTATCTCTACCACATCTAGCTACTAACCTAGTACTTTCAAGTTTCTCAAACCTTAGGGGGTACCCATGGGCCACAGCGTAGTTAATAAGACAATTTTTCAATTGAGAAAAATTTTGATATTTCTCTCCAACCTTTGGTTCCATGAGATTCCACTCTATGGTGGGATCATGGACAGAATTGGAACCACCAATGTCATTCTCGTCATCTTCTAGATGAACCAAATCATCTACATATTCATCTTTTTCACCAAAAAACTCAGATTCATCTTCAAAAAGTTTGGTAAGAAAAGGATCGTTAACAGATTGGAATGAAATAGCTATTACCTTTTCCCTCTCATAGTCCATGGGCATGTCTGATACGAGAATTTCATCTTCGGGATCTTCATAATCAACGTATTTTTTCTTGTGTTTCTTAGTTTTCTTCTTGGCATCGTTGTTGGATGCCATGTCTTTCTTGTTGTGCGATTTCAGAAAAAGCCCTAGATTTTCATATCAACTTGTGTATCTTGAAGCGATCGAATGAAACCTAGCGAGTGTAGAAGAAAAGAAAGGGTACGCAAGAAAAGAAAGGGTACGCAGGAAGGATACATTCATGATACCGGCTATTGACTAGTCAACCGGTTATGCATAATAAATAACAAGGAACATCAAAAAGTGTGGTCTTTTTAGGAAATAAATACACTTTTTGGTTTAAATAGAAAAAAACTTTGAATATAAGGTCTATTTTGGAAAAACCCCAACAAAATATATTACCAATTCAAAAACATATCATTCAAACCATATCTTACCAATTCCATTGATCATAATAATAATTCATCCATAGAATAAGAAAATTAATTAAGCATACAACATCCCAACAAAGAAACAAACCAAACACACCATGATGAACTTGATGATTCCACGAGTTTTATTGTCGGTGCAAATTTCCATAGCTAAATATCTATGAAATTGATCTACTCCTTATCAACGTTGATATGGAATATAATTTCGTAGCAAATGTCGTCACAAATTAGCTATGCTTTTTGTTCCATACCAAAACAAGCAAACGAAATCAAATTTCATAGCAGAATTCCCTAGCAAATACCTACGAATGGTATTTCCATAGCAAAGCAACTATGGAATTGGTTTCCGTCAGAAAGTCCGTTGCATAGTAACCACGATAATTAATTCCTTAGCAGCAGTACAATGGACAGTGACTTCATAACAAATTTCGATGGAAAATTGCTACGAATTTTTTTTCTTAGAAATATTGGTAGCATAATACCAACGGATATGGAGTCGGTAGCATTTTCCCTAGCAAGTCCCATTCTCGCTACCGGAAATAAATTCTGTAGAAAATGTGGTAGCAACCTTGCTATGGAACGACATTCCATAGCACGATCCATTGCAGATTAACAACGAAAATACGCTTCATAGCGACCTTCCCTAGCAAAATCGCATTTTTCTGTAGTGTTTGAAAAAAAGTGTTTTTGATGGTTCTTATTTTTGTGACAACCAGATTTTCAGCGAAGAAATTGATGATGGGCAAAAATACAAGAGCAAGGTAGATTATTATGAGAAGAAAGCAAGAGGCGTGACACAAAATAAGTGTGGATTTCATGTTTGATATGTTGAGGAGTCTACAAATATATCACTGTCACATGTGGGAAGAAAATGATGCAAATGACTAGTCAAGAAATTAGCTACTTCCAGATTGGTAGATTCATTTAATGGTGAAGAATTCTACCTTTCACGAAACCGCGCCGCGAGCTTAGCTACCCTGCGACGAGGCTAACGATTTCGTCACAACTTATTTCCTGACATATGAATACCATGAAGCGCGAGTTATCACTGTACGCCGCAACGAAGATTTTATCGCGATTGAAATGCCATTTTACTTTGAAACCACGATGCGCAAGTACTGCACACAAATTTATTTTTCAAGCTTTGAAGATCAGATGTTCGCCATATTTTATTTCCAAGTGTCCATTATTTTTAGCAAGGATGTTCAAATCTCAGAGTTATTTCAACCATAAGATTGAAGCTATCATATCAACCTAAGTCAATCATTCGATTTCGTGACTACATACCTAATGCAAGTTTGTTCATTTTCTCCCCCTTTTATTTTATATTCTTTAATTTTTATTATATACAATCATACATTTTATAACTTAAGTGTGGGGTATGAGATCGAATTAAAGGAAAAGAGCATGCTAGATTGATATATATATATATATATATATATATATATATATATATATATATATATATATATATTATATGCTAGATTAGAAAAAATTAAAAAGGTAAAGGCTTGAAAAATTATCTAAAACAGAAAATTTTAAATTTTAAAAATTTTGTTTTGATATTATTGTCAGTGTGGTGTTGGATAATTTGAGGTGAATTCTAAGGTTTAGTTTAACTAATATGTTATAGTATATTTGTGGCTTCCCAGTTCTAGTGAAATCGTGAGACAAAAATGAAAACTTGTGTAGTTTGAGGATACAATATGTTTTGCATCATATACTGAAATATTACAATGAAATTTATGTGAAGCATTACATATTAGACTATATCATTAGATAATAAAGGATCAACTTAAGTTTCTAAGCTTAAACATATGTTTTACTAGGTTTTTTAGCAGAGAGAAAAAAAAGTGAGTTATTAAAAAAAGAAAAAAAAAGTTGTCAAAAATATTGAGTATATATGAGCTTACAAAGAAATACTCATGAAGAAATGAAAAAGCCAAAAGTTGAAAATATCGAAAAAAAATAAAAAATGTCATAACCTTGAAAGTTGTATTTTTATTTCTATGTTATTTTATCATATGTATGCTTGGAAACTTAGTAAAAATACATTGAGGATAAGATAATTTCTAAAGGTGTATTCGGAGGGATGCATAAATGAATAT